TTAATTCACAGTTTCTATTTATGTCATTCATTTATCATTCAAGAATTTGTTGATGCTGTGGTGACTCAGTCGAACCTACCAAATATAATCAATGTACTATACGTACTGGACGTACGTCACACTACATAAACGATAATCAACGTATACGTGTAATCAAGCACTGTCATGTCAGCGTTAATGTTAATGCGTTAAAAATTGCTTATTTGTAAATATATTATGGTACGACTCAATGGTTTAAAATTTATCTCTTATTCTATTTAATCAAACTATTACCAATAATCATAGTTGTCTTTTTTTTAATTTGATATTGAAATAAAAAAGCTTTATCACTTTGCTCGTTGAACGAGTATAGTGCAGATTCGGTGGAATTCTGTCCTTTTGAGAATTATTCACAATTTTTAGTATGTGGAACTTAGCGAAATAATGCCTAAGGGTGTTATTTCACGATAATTACAGCATTGTTCAAAGTTAATATTCTTAAAGCAAAATAAAAAGAGGCCTTGAGTCATTTGCTTAAATCTTAAGCAGAAAGTTAAAATGATTATTTACAAACTTAACTATGAATTTTTACTATGAATTTTTAACTAACCATAACAAAAGAAGGAAATTAGACAGAAACTCTTTCGAGCGCATAAAAATCGAAAGGAACAGTCTTTCTTGAGAATTATTGGGAAGTTTTTTGAATACTTAATTTAATACTTAATTTATAAGGGATCATTATACCTACTCACCAAATTAGTGCGAATAAAGCCAATAAAAAAAGGAAATAAAATAAACCTATGTCTAAAATTCGAATGTGCGAATCCAATCAAATTGCATGATTTCTGAAATAAATCAATTTGATTGGAACTGCTTATTACACCTCACGTCACTGATCATGTCTTCCTCTGTTATAAATAGAAATATATTCAATCTTGCGATTCCTAAGCTCTTCGATTGCCTTAGGATGACCTTTAACGGCGGCTATCTTAAATATTGAATTCCTTTTTTTTTCATCTTTCATGATACCATGCTTCCCATTAAGTAGCATATCACCATAATTGAATAAAGCTGCAGCCTTTTCCAAATATATAATGAAATCATCCACGTTATTAGCTGCTAACTTCGCGAATGCATAATGTAATTGTGCATCTGGAACATTTTCATTTGCTGCTTCCTTGAATCTTTCTCTCCGTTGTGGTACCCTTCTTTCAAATAATAGGCTTTCCAATATTTAGCAATGGGATCTCTTCTTTTCTCTTTGTGCGCTTTGAGACCTTCTTCTAGTGGATTGATAATTGGAAGAATGTCATTTATGATTAAGTTCTCTTCTTTATATTTTCGTTTAGTAATTTACTAAGTTCTATGCTAAGAACATTAATATTTGGAAGGTTCGACTGAGTCACCACAGCATCAACAAATTCTTGAATGATAAATGAATGACATAAATAGAAACTGTGAATTAA